GCTTGTCAAACCTGAGGCAAAGTTGCTTCTCCAAGTGGAAAAGTTTGCGGCTCGTGCAACCTAAATTGTGCCATCCTAGATGCTCCATCATAATGAAGCCTTGTCGTGACTTCTTCAATCTCTGTAGTTCTTTGGGATAACGTAGCGAGGGCATTCATGATAGCATCCAACTTGGACTCCGAACTTTTTGTCATACTAATGTCTTGGCCTCCAGCCATTCTACGAGAAGGACAAAAATGACTCTACAAGAAGACAATATTGGTTTAGAGGAGGGTACTCGACAACCTCTAAAATGTCTTAAGAGCTTCAAGAAAAGGAATAATCTACTCTCTCCAAGAAGAATAAGATTTCAATATTATAACAAAAGAAATATCAGTTTAGAGGAGGGTAATCCGCAACCTCTAAAATGCTAGTACACTTCCAAGCAGAGGGATAATCCGCACTCTAACGAGGAAGAAACTAACTCTGATATCTGAGGTGAGTGAAGTCTCGACAAACTGTCACGGACACAGAAATACAGACTCGAGATCTAACAAGAAGTTGAAGAAGAACTGGCAAGAACTAGATTAATCAGATGAATATAAGAACAACACCAGAGAGGTGAGCTAGAGCTCCAAGAGATGTGTTGTTGAGACTGAAGAACTCTTGAGTCTTTATTCTAATAGATACTCCTATTTAGGAAGCTTCTCAAGCAACTTCTATCAACTAGAAAGCTTCTAGAAGGTTCCAGAGACTTGTTTCTAGAAGGTTCTAGAAACTTGTCTCTAAAAGGTTCTAAGGACTATGTCCCAAACATCTTCTACCAACTATGAAGCTTCCCAAGCAATTTCCATGAACTAGGAAGGTTCTAGAAGGTTCTAGAGATTTGCTTCTAGAAGGTTCTAGAAAATTGTCTCTAGAAGGTCCTAAGGACTATGTCCCTAACATAAAGATGTATTCTTGAGAATCTAAAAAAGAAAATGACTTGTTTGTAAGAAATAGAAATCATGTGGAAGAAAACAAATGTGTTGTTATTTTTGTTAAAAATTCAAAAAGTGGTGTAGTCTAATATATTATAATTTACACAAATTAGCTAAATATTCAATTAGTTAAATAATTTTGAATATAATCAATAATTGGTATTTTCATATTCTATATAGTTCTTAATTTTTAAGACAAAGATAAAAAAATACAATCAAATAACCAAAGAATAGAATTGTATAACAATCAACTATTGGATTTATCAAGGACTTTAAATAGGTTGTATTTAATAATATTGGTGATAATTACTAATACAATAAGTTTATATTGGCTTTATTTGGAGAGGAAAAGAAATCCAAGACATGAGTACATTTATTCAGACAAAGATTAGATTTAGGTTTAGAATATAAGTAAAGAATTAGTAACATCCTTAATTATAAAAATAGATTGCTACCTTGAATAAAAGACTTGAAATTATAAAGACAATCTAAGGTAGAGAAAATCTCTCTTGTTTTTTGAACCTAATATAAAGTACTATTCTACCAAAAATATCTTATATTTAAGATTTAAAGTTTGTATTGAAGGTTTATTTAACAAGAAATCAATAGGTTTTTTTTACAAACTAGTCTTGTTTATCATTATTCTATTAAATATTTTAAAATTAATTTTAATCAATTAATTAATTTTTCATTTACTAACATAATTTTTTCTAAGTTTTTTTTTTTTTTTTTTTTTTTTTTTGTTTCGTTAAAACTTCTTATCTCAACTACCCAATGAATTTTTACTATATTTTTGGATTTTTATTTTTTCTCTCTATCTTACAGAATTAATTTCTATCTTCAAATTTTTTCAACAAAAGATCTAAATTGGTATTACTAAAGAAGTCTAAGGTTAATAGTATAAGGTTTTTAGTTTTTTTAGTTCTAATCTTTAAACTATCAAAAACTATTCCTACAACTTGTTTCTTCAGCTTCACTTAAAGAAAAAACCAACCAATTTTTTTTATCTTATTGGATGCTACTTCAAATTCTTCTTAGTAATAAAATTCTACTTGAAATTTTATATTAGACAAAATTTATAGTTAATATATATATATATATATATCAAAATATACTAAAAAATGATGCCTTATTTAAAATTTGAATCGGAAGATTTTTAATTCTTTGGTCAAATGCCAAAGTTTTAAAAGCATTTAAAAAAGGAAGAAATTTGTAACCTTTATTTGCATTTGTAATAGATGCAGATGTAATTTGTGTTTTTCCTTGTTTATAGTCTATAATTTGTTATTTAAAAATTATCATTTTATAAAAATGCGCTATCTTATCTTTATTATATATATTATAGAGGTCATAATTAGCAAGACGGTTACACAAATCAAGCAAAGCCATGCCAATTGCAACTTGATCAACAAAACTTGCTTCTATATGTATTTTAATGGCTTTTAACTTTTTGCAAGAAATGAACTTTTCAAACTAGTTGTTGGAGAATTTGATGCTGTTTTTTGAGAAGGCAAGAAGTTTATCAAAACTTTAACCACCTTCTTTGATGAGTTTTAAGAAAAATACAATGTTTTAATCCTTACATTAAAAGACTTACAAAATAAGAACTTATTTAATTTTTAGAAAGTGATTTATTTGCACTTTTTTTATTTGATGTGGGTTATTATTGTTTACTTTGTATTTCATAAGAATCTTTGCTAATGGTGACTTGAGATGGCACTTTTCAAGGCCAAACTCAACCTTGATCCACTTAAGATGGACTATCTAAGAAATTGATGTATTTGCATCTTTTTTCTTGTAAATATGGAGTTATTGTGTATTATTAAAGCAAGGTTTTGGTTTGATATGTATTTCAAATTTCCAAAATTTGTGTGGGATATGTAAAGTGAGCAAATTGATGACATGGATATTTAATTAAGTTATAAACTCTTATAAGTTCTATTCTAGGAAATAAACCAACTCTATAACTTAATAGAGGTAATATTATATCTTCAATTGTTTGCTTCTTTTAAAAACAATGTTTCAAAAGCACCTTGTCTTCTTGTTGGACCAAGAACCATTCAAGATTCAAAAATGCAATCAAATATTATTAAAATTTAGACAAATGATCATGAATATGATTCATTCTTATACAAGTATTAATTACATGTTATTTTTCATCTTGTTTAAAATAAAATATTATGATTCATTTTTTTAGGTATTGTTTATTTTACTTATTAAAATAATTTTTATGGTTTAAAGCCTAACAATGTAATTATATATTATCATCCCATTAAATTCTAAAATACTTTTATTTGCATTCAAATTGATATCAATTTATTTATTTTGATCTGATAGTCAAATTTAGCTCTTGAAAATATTAAAAGAATGGTATTTGTATATAAATAAATATTTAAATATCATCAAAGATAATATAGATGGATTAATGGGGAGATTGAATATTACTAATTGTAACAAATATTTTATTTTGTTACACACAAGTCTTTTAATAGTATTTACTACTTACTTCCAATTATATTGTAAATTATTATAATTTAATCATGGTTTGTGAAATACAAAAAACTAATTGGAATTGTAATTAATTTACCTTTGGAACACTTTATATGAGTAAAATGAAATTATTTGTTAATATACTTATAAGATTTGTTGACTAGTTTGCAATGCAATAGCTAATTTGAAGCATTATTGAATTTTAGATGAACATGTGAATTAAAAATCACTATATATAGATGATATAGTATTTGTATTACTTTTGAGATTCCTAGAAATATATGCATATTTAGTTTTTGAGAGAAGGGTAAAAATGATTATTAAACATTTATTAAAATGGTTTTTAGTTTAAATATGTTGTTAGTGAATTGAAATTATATCCATGTACATATATACACAAATGCATACAGTTTTTCTGTTGATATAAGTGCTGTTACAGTAATTTTTATGTCTGTGTGGATTATGTGTTACAACCAATATTCACATTGACTGCTTCAAATGCCCAACAAAAATTCTAACCTTATATATCTATATATATATATATATTATATATATATATATATATATATATATATATATATATATGTTCTTTTTCTTTTCAAAATCAACCAACAGTGAATAATAATTTTAATCTATGGGTTTGTTTAATATTCATTTTGAACAGTGTCTTGTATCATTGTGCAAAAAATCTTATTGACCAATGTAACAACGTTTTCTTTTTTCTTAATGTTAATTTAATGCAGGGAATTCAACGTAGCTACAAGTCACTATTATTTAAAATAACAACTTTGATCTCTCAATATTTTTTTTACTGTATCATAATGGATGTTATAATCCATAAAAACAAACATTTGGATGAAACACGAAATTAGAATTTTGTAAACTTTACTTAAACAACAATTTTTAAAATTTTTAAGTGAAATAAAGAAAGTCATGAGCCCTTCTATGTAAACTGCACACTTTTCAATTTCATCTTATTTACAGATGTTTGGTTTTATTGTTGATCTTGGTCTAAATTATCTTTTGCATACATTCAGATCAATAGTATCGTTCAAAACATCACTTTTTACAATTGTTACTATAGCTCATCTACAGTGGGAATTTAATTGCAAATGCACGATTTTGTAAATCAGAGCCATTATTTGGTACTTATAGAGTATTTCTGTAGACCACCCAAATTTCAGCACAATCACAAAAGATACGTTCACACGGGGCCTCTTCTCAATTCATGTTACTGACTCCGTTAGTGAGCACATGACAGAAGCTGCGTTTACACGGAGCCCGCACTTGATATTGTCATTCTGGATTATTTGGTTATCTCGATAAAAAAAGCTGTGTTCACACGGAGCCTTGTTTCTGTCATAGTATCAGTGGCTGTTTCGGTGAAGGCCCAGTCTCTCACCAGCTTGCTGGCTGGCTGGCTGGCTCGCGAGGAGGGGATGCGGGCATCTTCACGACAAAGGGAGAGGGGATGGGATGGGATGAGAAGGCTCTGAGGCAGGATCGGAATCCTGATGGAAAAGATATTATCAATGGCATCGCTGTAGCGTATGTGGCAATCCGTTGCGCTCGCAGCTCCTGCCCCTGCAAGGGTCGCCCAAGTTGCCCTCGCTTGGATCAAGCCAAGGTGCCCTACGGTGCTCGCAGCTTTATCTGCCGAACATCGAGCGGCCAACTGTCTTCGTCAAATCTTCATTCAATTCCACCTCCGCCCTCGTGCTTCATATCAATCGGCAATCTATTCCTTCTTCCTTCCTTCGTCCTCGTACTCTTCGAGCTCCTCGTCCGGCGATGGACTTGCTCTCCGCAACAGCGAGAATGAAATCAACTGGAACAGGAAGAGCCGGGGAATGGTCGTGAATTGCGTGCGAGAATGGGATTCGCGTGGGAATGTGCTCTTGCGCACACGATGGTTTTCGTCTGCTAGCAAGGCACGTGAGCCCAGGGGAATACCCAAGATTCAACTGCGAACTGGGTTTTTTCTGATGGTGACAAAACCTTGACGTGGAGTGGGAAGATTGGAGGATTTTCACTGCTGGGGCAAGGACTGGTGGGGGGCCACCCGTTCCTCATCGCCACTGTTTGGGGTGCATCGACCCTTCTTCCCTGTTACCAATTGGGAACATCGTTACTGCGTGCATCTCCGGCGCTGGCAGTGTTGTCAGGTGCTCACTGCCGTTCAGTTCGTCGTTGTGCCCATCTTGTGCTCGGCATTTCATGCTGGGTAGTGGCCGTTTTGGTCTACCGTACCGTCTGATGGAGTACGTTTAGTAGGAGCCTTTGGTTTTCTGTGTAGTAGTTTTTGCAGGATTTGAAGGATATTTTCTGAAGGTTGCAAGCTATAATTTGGGGCGGAGTTAGGTTGATAAATCGTTGAATTTGGGTTCTGGGCTTTGGGTACATGGAGAATTTAATGGCGGCATCTTTGGAGTTCGAGGTGGTGTTTTTTTCCCAGAATTCTGAGGTTTTGGAATGGTGGTGCAGGGGGTTCTGTAGAGGCAATGGAACGAATTGATCATCTTTGTAGCTCGATCTAGTGAGGATCGAGTGTGGAGAGGGGCAGGGAACCTGTCGTGAGAGAGTGAAGGTTCTGAGGTCGGAATTGGTTGATGCTGCCACGTTGTCGCATTGTCACATTGTAAGGCAGAGGAGTTTGAAAATGATAGGTGCGAGGATGTTGAACAGCCGTGCCTCGCTTCTTCAATTCTCGTCCTCCCAGTCTTCATTACCGTCATCTCTAGCGTGCAAGAAAGAATTTGCATGCTTGCCTTCGAACGCATCGACTGCTCGGAGGAGCCCTAGGAAGAGCTTTTCTCCTGTGGTTTTTAATTCGAGTGGAGCGCATTTGACTGGCCAATGCGGGTTAGGTGCCTTCGGAAAGCAGAAGAAGGTGCAATGTGGTGGAAACAAAAATGGGAGACGGAGAATTGCTGTGCAATGTGAGGCGGACGGGAATCAAATGCATGAGAGTAATTCAGGACAGTCTAGAACCGGAAATGGGGTCAGTCAGGGCTCGGCGACTGATCATGAAGTTAGTGCTGCAGGTCAGTCTTCAGGTAAAGTTTTGACTCCAGCTTTGTTGCACGAAGGATACATTTAGTGGACGACTTGAATCAGGTCGATTCCTCCACCTTTAGAACATTGATAATGGTACCCTTCCGCAGATCAAAAGAGATCAATCCAGTATTTGTCATTTTTTAAAACTTGCGAGTTTAGCTTACAGTCTACTTCCTCATCCTCTTGTGTGTATTGCAATTGTATAGGTTTCACATCCTGCATAGCTTGCATCAGTAGCTTGACAAACCCTCTGAGCAATTGTGTTATGTGCCCAGGAGCTTAAAGCATTTCGCTTCGTAATTTCATTAGGCATTGTGTTGTTGAGATCATACGTACGGTTTTTCACAGTTGTTCGTAAAGAATCAGTTCTATGATTGGTGAAGCGAAAACGAATGACGCGATTCCCAAGCCAATGTTAAGTTGTGGTCTGGAAGGCATGCGTGTTCTACCTCCTTGCTCAGATTAATGTTGCCGTATTGCAGCTGAAGAACAAGACCTATGTGATATGGAGCGCGAGTCTCCAGCCGCTATATTGAAGGAGCTGTTGCGACTGGCTCAAGAGGACCTTGAAATGGCGAGGAAGAACTCTGACAGGTTAGCAGAGAAAGCACGGAAGATGGCTGAGAAAGCCATGGCATTGCAAGAGGAGGCAGTGAAAGCACAAAAAGCTGCGAATGATGCGAAAGTAGAGGTAGAAGACATTCTTCAGCGAGAATCCGACGGTGCGCTTTAACTTCATGAAATTATCTTACGACCTGTACTTTCAGCCTGATAACATCTTGGAATCTTTATTTAGCAATCTAGAGGAATGTTGCAGGTGAAGTTGCTTTGGCGTCTGCTAGTTCTGCATACGAGGCTGCACAAGAGCATGTAGAACAGATTGAAAAAGCTCTGAAGGCTGCACAGTCGAATTTCAGGAGCAAAGAGACAGCTACGGACGAGGTTCAAGGAGCAGGTGACACCGAAGATCCTAAACGCGTAGAGACAGATGTCAGAGTCGGCGATGTCAAAGGAGAAGCCGATATTGAAACCGTGGGATTACAGGAAAGGGATTCTGCTATGTTGCAGTGTGAGAAAGAGCTCGATGCTGCAATCGCAGTACTAAAAGAAAAAGAAGTCGAGTATGTAAAATGCGAGGAGGAGCTATCTCGAATTCAGTTTCTGAAGGCTGAAATTCAGGAGAAGGCGGTATCGTTAAGTGAGGCGTTCGAAAAGGCACGGAATGCCGCTGCTGCAGCTGATTCAGAGGTTGCCATAGCCATGTCACTTGCCGAAGAATCTGTTGCCATGGAAGTTGAAGCAACTCAAAGAGTAAGCGACGGAGAGATTGCTCTGCAGAAGGCTGAGGGATCACAGAAAGATGCTGCCCAGGCTGCATCTGCGCTCGCGGCTGTGGATATAGCAGAAAAGCTTTCCTTGCAGGTGGCCAAGACAGCTGAAGTTCTATTGCTAGAAACCGAGTTGAAACAGGAAGATGATGAAAGCAAGGAAGGCATTGCAACTGAAGTGGAGAAGGTAGTCACGTTTTTTTTTAGTTTTTTATCGTTATTTTCTTCATTGCACTTTTGTCTGGTTCATTTTCCTTTGGATTTTGGCGTTAAATTTGGGATTCAAGGTCACGCGGAGTCTTCGATGCTTTAGTGTATTTCACCGGCAACTGTACAGATATTAGGATCCACCCAATAAAGTACCGGATGTACCTTTGCATATAGTTGTGTATTTCCTTCAGGAGCACACGTTTTGACTTACATCAGAACTGTTATCGTACCAACACTGTGATGCCTGGTCAATGACTATTGCGAGTGAGCACAACCCATTCCTACCCAAAAGTACTTGGTCCTTCTTAACTTCATTTTCAACCTATACTTTGCCAGTTGCTCATCCTTAACAATTTGCATTCTCATTCAACACCTTTGCTTTCGTTTGTTACAGCTCGAGGAAATCATGGATCTTCATGAAAGGGCAGGCTTTACGAGTCCTATGAATGTGGCGGAATCTGCAGTCCCGTTGGAGAAGCAAATCAAACAAAGTGACGATGACTTGAGCTCAAAGAACGAAGCAGAAGCTGAAAAAGCCGCTAAGAAACCGGAATCAAAGTCTTCTACTAAGAAATCATCTAGGTTTTTTCCAGCTTCGTATTTTTCCACGGATGATGAAGGAGAGTTTACGCCTACTACGGTCTTTTCAGAGTTGGCAACTGCGGTTCGTGCTCAACTTGGCAAGGTGGTGATTGGCGCTGCCCTGTTGCTCGCTGGGTAATGATCTACTTACCGATTATGAAAGTGTTATTGCGTCCCATTATGTGGTAGCTTTTTGGGATTTATGAATTTTTGAAGTATGGATAGCTAACGGATATTTCTTGTCGTCTATACCTGTATACATAATCTTAAGATGACAGTAGTGGTGCTGTCTGTTAATGATTCACTTGTGATGTCTTAAACAATATACTATGTTTTTGTAGAGGAGTGTATTTAAACAATCGCATGGAGAAGCGGGCTATATTATCTGAAATTCCACCCACTACAACCAGCATAGAAGTTCAGCAGAAAGGAAGGCCACTGATCAAAGAAATTCAAAAGTTACCTAAACGTGTGAAAAAGTTAATTGAAAAGCTTCCTCATCAAGAGGTTAGTTATTCAGTTCTGGGTTCCAACTTCATCCTCGGATTACTCGGTTCTGGACAACTGTATCTATTCCTAACATGCAGATCTTTTACTATGTGCACCTTATACGTGATAGAAATTGTTCATGCAGCTAAATGAGGAGGAAACATCGCTATTCGATGTTCTTTGGTTGCTTCTGGCTAGTGTCGTTTTTGTACCCCTTGTTCAAAAGATACCAGGAGGTAATCCATTCCCTCCTTACTCATAGTTGAGATATATGTGGGTCTATTGTGGATGTGTAATGAATATATGAGGGCGTGTATATTGCTTGGTAATGTTTTTTTAACTTTTCGATCGGTAGTTGTATTTTAGGTGAAAGAATTCAATGACGTGTACCTTTGTTGGTCGTGAATGGTTTAGCTGGACAAAAAGCCGTTGGCTTAGTGCTTGGTTCTTCATTACTGCTTTCATCAAATGTGGCAACCACAAGAGTGTGCATAGTCGCTGATCTCTAAAAATGTGTACTAGCATTCGGCAAAAGTTCAGCTTCCTGTTTTTTAACTTTACCCTTGATCAACACAGGTAGTCCTGTACTAGGATATCTGGCTGCAGGTGTGTTGATTGGGCCATATGCGCTCTCTATCATTCAAAATGTCCACGGAACTAAAGCCATCGGCGAGTTTGGAGTTGTATTTTTGCTATTCAATATTGGTCTTGAGGTACGTCAAAGTTTGAGCCACTGACATCCACTAATTGTGATTTTTTCATCATACTTTACAGTGCGATTTCTGTCAATATTGTAATCTACTCCAAAGTAACTCTGTTAGAGGTGCTTATATGTGGCATTAAACACAGATTAAGTTGTGTCATATTTATATTTATCTTGCAAAATTTAGTATGTTTAACTTGATTGCTTTATCAGTCTTTCTTTGAATGGCTCTTGCTTTATTAAATGGTTGTACCGATGGAATTTAATGCTGTTGTTTACATGTATATGTGTTCAGTTATCGGTGGAGAGATTGAGCTCCATGAAGAAGTATGTGTTTGGATTCGGATCAGCTCAGGTATTTTTCACTCTTGACAATGTATCTGTGGCATTTTATGGTATGTGCAAAAGCAATTTGAATCCTTGCAGAAGATTTAAGTGTACGGTTATATTTTCCGTCTAATCTGGCTATGACAAAGAGTCAATAGCTACTTGATGTTAACTTATGGGGTTTCAAGTGAGAGGAAAGACAAGTGCAGTCTCAACTAAGAATTGCTTATGATATATTAAATAACTAGAGTATTTTTACATTTCAATTTAATTTATCTTAATTTAAAATTGCATAAATCGCGGTCCATTCCATTTACATGAGTGTGGTTGGAGATCGTCTCCTTTATAGCTGTGGTCTCTCATTTGAAATTATTGGTCCTTTCATTGTGAAATAGGTGCTGGCAACTGCTGTGGCCGTTGGCTATTTTACATTTCTTGTTTCTGGAGCATCCGGTCCTCTCGCGATTGTTATTGGAAATGGACTGGCTCTTTCTTCAACAGCTGTAGTCCTTCAGGTCTGCATCTTTTCATCTTATTTGCGATGTATTTCTCTATTTTGTAATGAGACTTTTAGCTGTGATTGGTAAGGTTCAATTTCGTTTTGGAGTAGTGAGACACATAGTGGAGAAGTATGATGCGTATGCTCTGTGTCATTTCTAATAATAGATTTACCAATGTACAGGTGCTGCAAGAGCGCGGTGAGAGCACATCTAGACATGGCCGAGCTACCTTCTCCGTGTTACTGTTCCAGGTCAGTCGTTCGACATCATGCTGAAAAAGTCTTGCCTAGTTCTGTGTATCTCGGTATCAGTGCAATTCCGATTAGAATGTTATGAAATTTTACACAATGGTTGTTTGTGAGCGTGCAGGATTTGGCAGTAGTGGTGTTGCTTATTTTAATTCCACTTCTATCGCCTAACTCGTCCAAAGGAGGGGTAAGTTCGTAACCTCCGTCCTTTCAGATAGGTGCCTGTGTGGGTGCTTGAAACGAGGTGGAGAAGTATACCAATTTACTTTATGACCTCATTTCAAGTCGGGCTTCAAGGTCAACTTATTTGTTCCATTCTTTGTCTTGGCAGGTAGGGTTCCAGGCCATTGCTGAGGCTTTGGGATTGGCAGCTGTCAAGGCTGTTGTTGCTATAACTGCTATCATAGCTGGAGGTCGACTGGTTCGTATAATGCTTCCCCTCAACCTTGCGTTATACAAATCTCGGATCATGCAATCATGTAACTGAGCATAGATGTAAAAGGATTTCAGCCAAATAGAACGTGGCTTAATGTTTGTTTGAGATTTTTCGCCCAATTATACTTTTTTATGGAAGATTAATGTTTTGATGTTGTTAGTCTTATTGTGGCTACTTATCTTTGAGAAGTTAAATATTTTACAGGTTGCCTTTCTGTGTGAGATCATTTTGTAAAAGTTTGTTGGTATTTAGACAATTTTTGTCTTTTGATGTGCCAGCTTCTACGACCTATATACAAGCGCATGGCAGATAATCACAATGCAGAAATTTTTGCAGCGAACACACTTTTGGTGGTTCTTGGTACAAGTTTTTTTACTGCACGGGTATGTTGTATAATATATATATATATATATATATATATATATATATATATATATATATATATATATAGATAGATAGTTTTAAGTAATGCTAATCGTACTGTGCTGTCTGTTGGAACCATTCAATCATCTAATCAGCATCCAAATGTCTGACGAATATAATTTCTGAATTTCTTATGTTGGTTTTGCTAGAAGTTGCTAGAATAACTGGTTCCTTATCTGATTGAAGTCTTGGAACAGGCCGGCTTGTCGATGGCTCTTGGAGCTTTCCTTGCAGGTTTGCTGTTAGCGGAAACTGAGTTTGCTCTGCAAGTGGAATCGGATATTGCCCCATACCGAGGATTATTGCTTGGCCTCTTCTTCATGACGGTAACTTTTTCACCATATGATACTGGAAGGTGTTCTTGGTCAGCTAAAAGTACATATATTCTTGACGCATTAGAAAGTTTTATTTTTTGATGGAGTGCAATAAATCTAGTTTACTATTTCTTTCTTGGTGTTGAATGTTTGTTTGCTGGATCAAGACCTGTATTTGTTTTCGTTACTATTTGGCTCAAAAAACGTGTTCTAGCATGATTACAACAACTTGTTGTGGCTGTCTTTGCGCAGGTGGGCATGTCTATAGATCCAAAGTTGTTGGTGGCTAAGTTTCCTATGATTATGGGAGCACTCACTTTGTTGATTGTGGGTAAAACCTTGATTGTGACTGGCTTGGGTCGATGCTTTGGTCTTTCAACCGTGGCTGCCGTACGTGCTGGGCTCTTCCTGGCTCCTGGAGGAGAGTTTGCATTTGTCGCATTTGGTGAAGCAGTGAATCAGGCAAGTACCAGATTATAATTTGATTTATAACTTGATTCTTGTTGACCAACCTTATTAATGTATTCGAATTCTTATATTCCTCTGTTGCTTTAGACAATCTCTTATGTTAGATGGTGTTTGATAAAATGCAGGGAATCATGTCTCTTGAAATGTCGTCTTTGCTGTTCTTGGTAACGGGCCTGTCAATGGCCATCACCCCGTGGCTTGCTGCTGGAGGTCAGCTCATTGCAAGTCGCTTTGATCAACAAGACGTTCGCAGTCTACTCCCAGCAGAAAGCGAGGTATTTTCTACAGCATTATTGTTGAGACTAATTAAACCCTCGTTTCCGTAGGTTTAAATGATTAGTTAATATTACTGTAACCAGATGTTTGACATGGTGACGCAATGAGTTGCTTGGCATGCAGACCGACGATCTTCAAAATCACATGATTATCTGTGGATTTGGAAGAGTAGGACAGGTATGCCTTCTTCTGTGCAACTTTATTCTTGGCGACCGAATCTTTTATCCCGCAACTGTGAATACTCAAAGACTGCTAGTTTACATCAGCATTCCAGGAAGTTTAGCATGGTTGAAGAACGATTTTGCTTAGAGTTATGTTAAGGAAGCGGAAACTTCTTGTTTTTAAACTGCTGACTGATATTTGATATGGTATTCTGTACAGATTATTTCGCAATTATTGGCTGAGAGGTTGATACCATTTGTTGCTCTTGATGTGCGAAGGTCAGTATCAATTTGTTCATACTCAATTCTTAATTTTGGGATGTGTGTTGCCTCCCTTATGTTTGTTGTTTGCGATGTGAGTAGCGTGCTTTTGCAATAAAATTGGGTTGAATATCTTTGGTGAGATTCTAGTTGTTTCCAGTGCAATTTGCTCTCTTTGAAAACAGAGATACTTATAAAATTAAGATTCAAATTTGACAGTGAGCGTGTCAGCATGGGACGAGCTCTGGATCTGCCTGTGTTCTTTGGAGACGCAGGAAGCCGGGAGGTACATCCTCTTCTTCTTCTTTTTCTTCTCCTGTTCTTTTTTGTATTTTTGTTTTTACTATTTTAAAACCTAAGTAAAACATTAAATTTGATTATCTTAACAATCGCGGTCTCGGCTTTGGTTGTGTGAAAGAGAAAGGCTTGTCTTCGCTGTTGTATCACATGCAGACACTAATCGTGATCTTGGATAGTAAAATGTGGAAATGATTCAGTTTGAGTGTTTGTATTTGTTATAGCCAATTGCTTCTCTGTCGTACTTATCGCTGACATTGGTGAGCCTTGTATTATTAGAATGCTAATGTTGGGTGAAATGGCTGTAGATATTGCATAAAGTAGGAGCAGAAAGAGCATCCGCAGCCGTCATAGCATTGGACACACCTGGAGCGAACTACCGAACTGTGTGGGCTTTAAGCAAATATTATCCTCATGTGAAGACTTTTGTACGTGCTCACGACGTGGATCATGGAATGAGTTTGGAGAAGGCCGGAGCAACTGCGGTATGTTTTGGCATCTAAGGGTTGAGGTATTGCGAGTGTTATGTTTAGCATGAATGTGAGGCGATTAATCAGTGCAGCAGTGTTATTTAGATAGTTGTTACACGATGGATACTAGTTCCGAATGTCAAATAAATTTGCTACCTTGTGGCACTTTTAGAAACCCTTGAGTTAACTTAGTTCGTATGTACTCTTGTGATGCATTTCAGGTTGTGCCAGAGACACTGGAGCCGAGTTTGCAGCTAGCAGCCGCTATTCTTGCTCAGGTTCAGGGTTTCTCGTGCTACTTGAATTACTTTCATGGCATTGCGAAAGGCATTGTCTGCATAACTGATTAGATTGCGGGAGAATTGTAATGTGGTTCTAGGCTGCTATGTATGAGTTCCTTAATTTTTGTCTCTGGGTGTCAATCGTTTCTCATCACAGGCCAAACTACCGCCATCAGAGATTGCATCAGCAATTGACCAGTTCCGGTCCAACCATCTCTCAGAACTCACAGAGGTGCTGCCCTACTCTTTCATGATAAAATCTTTTCTGGGTGGTGAGATATATAATTTTTTTTCAAGCATTTCCTAGAAATAAGTAGTGGATTAGGAATGATCTCTATCTTTGCTAACATATTTTTACTTCTTTATCACCAACCTGATATCACTAAAAAAAATATTTACGTAAACTGATGTGAAGCTGTCGGAAGCAAGCGGGAGCTCACTTGGATACGGCACTACTCGCAACAAGACGAGATCAAAGCTCGTCCCAACAGAGCTCATCTCCAAAGAAGATGATGGAAACTACAGTGCACCGCCAGGCATTGTAGCTGTTCCCTAGTTGCTACCGACTATATTGGTGACATGTTGATGCCCCCTGGAGTCAGTGTTGGGTGTGCATGTGGACGGAAGGCGAAAGAGTTCAACGTAAAATTGAACATCAATGCTACACTTCACCACAGAATTTTTTACTCAAATTTTTCTGCTTAGCTTTTCTTTATTTATTTAATGTCGAAGAGTCCTTATCATCAGTTTTATAGAGTGCTCAATTTGATGTCCTTGGAAGATGCCGAATGGAAAGAATAGCATCATGGAAAGTGGAACCATATGAATGTAGTTTCTCATAATGCAGATGTGTAGATCGTTTCAAGTTTCATTTTGGAAAGACAATTTTATTGAACTTGGCCATTGAGTATCATCAGATGGAATGTTGAAATTGTAACTTTGCTTTATAACCATGAGTAGTGGAAAATAAAAAGTTCTTGAATAAAGATGTATTTTATGGTTATAAACTATTGATTGAGGAAGTTATAAGCAGTGTTGTTGACTCTTCTATACCTCAATTTAATTAAATGCTATTTTCCCATGTGTCCTAGCATTTTATTGTTTATTTTTTAAAATATGCAATTTTAAAAAACGTGGATAAAAATCAGTCCACTTTGGCTTTTTATAATATAATGTTAAAGTGGTTGATATTATTCAATTTTTTTTTGTTGATAAGAATTACTAATTGTTTACATTAGCTTTTTGGAGTTTTGATTAAAGAATTGTGAACATTCATTAATTAATACCAATGAACATTGAAAAAGAATAAATTATCTTTTACATAAATCAATTTAATATAGGGTTGTCAATTGATATTAATATAGGGCAAATAGATTTTTTTTTATTGAAACTACTAGAAAATAGGTAGGAATGACCTTAAGGCCAAGCCTAAAGCTATCAGAGCATGCAACATTACTTCAATAGGAAGATTCTTTTAAGTTATAAATCAATTAGATCTTTATAATACTCATTATTTTTTTTATATAATCATGGAAAAGTTAGATTTGATGATAATGGTTTTAGGAATGATAAATATGAGGGTACCATAGAAGTGACAAAGCTTCTAAAAACAACTGTTTGCAAGTACTTAATTTTTAGCAAATTTTATCATGTCCAATTTGCAAGCATTTACTAATTACTTGAATACAACCTTATGCTAATAAGCATTAAGCAAGACACAATGGTCTCATTTAATTTGCTTAATTTACAACTTTGACCAATTGGAAATTAAAAGACAAGCCTTGTAATAATTGAGAAAAATATAGAGGATAGCTATTAAAGACATGAATTGAAAAATGATGAATAAACCAATGAAATCCGTGTCAAAGAAAAAATGACAAAATAGAAATAAGGAAGTATATATATTAAAAAGAAACTGGAATAGCTTATTGCCAAAAGACAAGAAAACTTGACACTCTTAAAACTAGACCAAAAGCAAGAAAGGAATTGATAAGAGTGAAGAAGGCTTTACTCTTGTCTCTATATATACTATATAATTAGGGGCTACGTGGCAATATTCTATAGGACCTCCAATATGTGTTGAGTTTGTAAGATACATGCGTTGACTTACAAGGCAAGTTTTTCTACATGTTGACTACATAGCTAGCTTAGTCTTCAAGCTAACAATATGTAAAGGACATGGCCAACTTGTTGACCACGTTTTTTATCCAAAAAGTCAATTATAGACACCTATAAAATCAAAGCAATATCTATAAAGATTTTAAGAAGCTTCTATAGAAGATATTATAGAATTAATTTACTTTTACATACTTCTACTTATTTCTACTTATTTATACAGGTAATTATTGGCTTACATGTATATATCTGTGACATTACCCCTTCCCTTCTAGGGACAAGTTCCATAAGGAGTGATCATCATATGTTGAGGAAATCTATGATGTGATGAATTGTATTCACTACATACTTAGATCTTTGTTCTCTTTGAAGATGGTTGATAGGGCCTCTCAACCATCGATAGTGTCTCATACTAAGGCAAGAAGACCACCTTTTTATTTGATCGTTGTTGATGCCTTCATAACTTTCTTCAAATAAAACATTTGGAACACCATTAAGAGTTGTTCCTACTTGTAATAAAATTACCAAATATCGAGAGTCTCTTCCAAGGTCATGATATCAAATGCATTGTATCTCGCCATTTATTTGAGAAAAAAAATGTTGTTTTTGAGGATCTTCATCTCGATTGCGTCATCTTCAAGGTTGTGACAATTACAATGTCTTATCCGACAGATCAGCAAATAAAGGTTCTTTAGTTGAATCCGCTGGTTGTTGATTCTTCATCTCCTTAGCATTACAAATACAAAGAAGCTAGAAACAAGAATTGACAATATATGTTATCTTACCTAGATCTTGTTTCTTTTATAGGGAAGGTCTTCATCTTGATTTTGATCGATGCTAGTAATGAAAAGCCTCCACCTTCTTTGCTGTATTTGCAAGATTCTTTGTAGGCTTCCATGTGCATTCACAAATATTATATCCGCACTAATGAACAAGATATTCTAACTTATTTTGGCGTCGCCTTGAATCTAAGACTTCCTTTACTTTAAATTCTTCATTATTGTCTACTTTTATAGGATGAGGTTGCACTTGTTTTCTTCTTGGTATGTCTACTATCTTGTATGGTTTAAGAAGAGACTCCTGAAATACTAGATGGATTTTTATTGACTCTGGTAGGAATAAATGATATGCAATAAGATTGATTTGTGCAAAAATAGGAAATGGTCCAAGTTTACAATAGTCTAATTTGTCACAAGGACGAGTAGTCTTGAAATTGCAACAAAATAACCATATCTTATTACCTACTGTCACGCACACAGAAATACAGACTCGAGATCTAACAAGAAGTTCAAGAAGAACTGGCAAGAACTAGATTAATCAGATGAATATAAGAACAACACCAGAGAGGTGAGCTAGAACTCCAAGAGATGTGTTGTCGAGACTGAAGAACTCTTCAGCCTCGATTCCAATATATATTCCTATTTAGGAAGCTTTTCAAGCAACTTCTACTAACTAAGAAGCTTCTAGAAGGTTCCAAAGACTTGCTTCTAGAAGATTCTAGAAACTTATCTCTAGAAGGTTCTAAGGACTATGTCCCTAACATCACCTCCTCCTTTAGCTTTGAGGTCTCTGAGAAGCAATGTTGTTGTTAATCAGTACCAACGCAAGAAAATGAAGATCTGTCGCATGACGTCTGCTATGAACTCCAACTGTTGTTCACGAGGCAAGTGGTTCATAGGCCCTTGAAATCAACGGTAGTGGCCCACTCCTTCAACTTCTGACCAAGCATGAACTTCCATGTCCTCATTGTGAAATTGTCCTACAAACACGCCTTCTGGCTAACCATCGTAAGCAGGCTCCAACTCAAATACAATCACCAGTGATCGGTTACTCGGTATCCTCCGTCGTCATCGTAGTGTAGGCGGTTTTTCATCTCGGGATTGCCTTCGTGAGCTAGTCGGTTGAGATAATTTGACTAACATAGTATCTATCTCTTGGCTATCCATATCAGAAAACCAAACTATGGCTACTGAAATAATTCTATTTTCTCTTGGAGAAAATAAGTACATCAACTACAAATTTTGGTGGTGCTCTCCCCTTTTCTTATATTCTTGGGTGAGCAAGCTTCAGAAGGAAGCTATCGTCAAACCGGCTTAGGTTTATGAGGATATTGTTGATGAAACTCCTGTACCTTTTGCGACGCATTGGCGAGATTTTTAGTTGGCTCCCACCTTCGCTTATTAATGTCGTAGCCACACCAATGAACAAGATACTCTAACTTGTCCCACCTCCGCCGTGAATCCAACACGTTTTCAACCTCATATTTCTTGTGGTTCTCGATCTCAATACTAGGTGGCAGACATTGCACTCTTCTAGGAAAAGACGACTCTCGATAAGACTCCAACAGAGAAACATGAAAGACTGGATGTACCTTCATAGAAGCCGATAATTCCAGACGGTATGCCATTGGATTGATTTGCTTCTGGATGATAAATGGTCCCAATCTTCGATAGTCCAACTAATCACATGGTCGCTTGGTCTTGATATTCCGTCGAAGAAGCCATGCTTTATCTCCAATTTTGAAAGTAGGTGCTTGATTTCGAAATCTATCTGTAGATGTTTTGTAGGATTCTTGAGCAGATTGTAATTGAAGCTTCAACGTATTTTGAAGATCTGATAGTTGTTTCGCAAATCCTTCAGCTGCTAGATTGTTATTTGTTGATGGGCTCAATAAATCAAGCTTTGGATGATACCCATAGTTAGAAAAGAATGGCGTATATTGAGTCGACGCATGGAGGGTGTTGTTATATGCAAACTCGGCTAGCGACAGATATGTGGTCCAATTGTCTTGCTGATAATTGATGCTGCATCGTAAGTATTGTTCCAAGACTTGGTTCACCTATTCCGTTTGGCCGTCAATTTGAGGATGAAAAACCGAAGAAAGCTTGATATCCACCTTCAGTATCTCAAAGAGAGATCTCCAAAACTTTGATACGAACTGGGTTCCTCGATCTGATATGATATCATTTCGTAGTCCATGATATCAATACACATTATCAAGAAAGTACCTTGTTGTGACTTTAAGGAACGATGTCCTCTTGCAAGGGACAAAGTGTGCCATCTTTGTAAGCCAATCTACCACGACAAAGATGCTATCAAATGAGTTCGATACTAGCAGGTCCGTGATGAAGTCCATAGAAATAGAAGACAATGGTCGACGTGGAATCGGCAATGGCTGTAGAAGTTTATCAAGATAATGTCGAGGATTCTTGGATCTTGAACAAAAGTCACAGAAGAGGACAAAATCTTTCACATCCTTCTACATTTGGGGCCACCAAAAATCTCGAGAAATAAGCTCCAAGGTCTTGTTGAATCCAAAATGTCCCGCAGCTAGAAAATCATGGCAAGATTGAAGAACTCGAAGTCGTGCTAGTCCTTTTGGGATATATAACCGCTCCTCAAAGTATAAAAGATCTCCCTCTAATTTGAACTTGTCGTCATTGGCACGCTACTTAATATCAATGGCTACTGAATCTTCAATGGTCACAGAATGTACCTGATTCAGAAAGTCAGCATCAATTGGCACAATAATAGCGTAAAGCTGAAATTGCTCTGGCTTCAACAATGTCATACATTGTTGATCAAATGCTGCTTCTCCAGTCTTTGGTACAAGATACAATCTCCTCGATAAGGCATCAGATAGTCTTTGCTACTTTCCAGGTCGATAAGTGATAACAAAATCGAATCTAGATAGCAACATACTCTACCGAGCTTGACGTCGATTTAGAACTCGAGCCAACATGAAATAGTCCAAATTCTTGTGATCTGTATATACGGTCACTGGGTATGCACCTCCTTCAAGAAAGTGACGCCATTCTTGGAAAGAATCCACTATAGCAAGAAGTTCCTTATTGTGGATCTCATAATTGATTTCAGC